GTACATATATATATACACACATACATACTCATTACACATATTTAATTCAGTTAAGTTTCAATTTGGCATAACTTGATCATAAATTTCTTTTCCTAATTTTAAATAATATTCAACTTCCTTAGCATGAAGGTTTTCTCTCTGCTGTAATTGTTGTTTCTCTGCCTTAATCCCAGGCAGCATCTTTTCACCACAGTGGTGACATCTCAGATCAGTGACCATTACATTTTTTTTTAAGGGCCACATTACATTTGTACTATACTCTGCTACCATAATTCAAACTTTCCATCTCAACCAAGCATCACATATTTCTTTCCGTCAGCCCCTTTCGAGCTGTTGTAGGTACTTTCTTTGTGCACACTGTCTAGGTTGGCTGTTATGTAGCCTCCATGTTCTGTATCAACAATGCATATGCTCAGTTTGGTCACCAACTCAGTGACACTGTAACACACAAGAAATATTGTTACAGGACAGCACTAGCTGGCTTTAGGAACCACTAAAAAATCTGTAGAATTACTGTTAAACCTTTAAATGTGGTTCAGAGTCAAGCCGAGAGCTGGCACGTGTAGCAGGTAGATGAATGGGGAGGCACAGCAACCAGCAGGCAGAGATGCTGCCACCACTTGGTGACCCACCACAGGGCCATGTCTATTTCTGTATTTGTTTACCAAGCTGCTGACAGCAAAACAAAACAAAATTCAGCGTCAGAGAAATAGAAACCAAAAGCTCTTTCTGGCACAAAATACCACAGGTACAGTAGTAAAACGTCCTACCAGCCACAGGTGAGATGTGACTTTCTGAGGAAGTGGATAATTTTTACTTGATGGGGAATCATTAAATGTGAACCAGATGATTAAACTTAATGGAACAGGCACATTAAACTGAAATTAGTAAAAACATGCCTTGGGCAGCCTACGATCTTTTATTTGTTGTTGTTTAACTTCTGTCTTTTACAGTGGCCATGATGAATGACATCACAAAAGGAAAAATCCAATTAAAATCTAAGTGCTCAATAAACCCCTAATGTCTGGTTGTCACCACAACTTTCACGGGCACTGGTGTCTTATGTTTTCTCTTTTCTTCCAACATAGAGAAAAGAACTGGCCCCAGGGAAGTTCATCTTGAGGGGAGGAGAGTGGGGAGAAGAAAACAAAAAGTTCTTCTGGAAAGTTCTGCTCTGCGCATTTGGTCAGACCCAGATAATGCACTTTGGGAGGAGAAGGGATGAGGATGTTAAACTGTTTTGTTATCAGACAATGCCTGAGTGAAGAGATGCATTTTCCTACTCCTTTTCAAATATTGATAAATCAGAATTGTGATCTGTAAAGCAGTCCTTGTTCACACTCTTATTTGGCATCTCCTCTGCCCTTTTTATATCAGCTCTGGTGTTTGTTATATAAGTCATTGAAATGGTCTCTCTTGACAGCTAAAAATAAGTTTCTGATTACTTTTACCTGAATAAATCTTGTGACCAGATGTGGTATTCACCTATTAAGTGTGCAACAATTACATATTGAAAGTGATGAAAGAACTGGCCAAGGAGAGTCTTTAATCTAGTAGAATGCAGAATATAATAAATCACATGTAAAGACAGCAATTGCCACCTGGTGGAAGAGTACTGGCTTCTAGTAACAGATTTTACCTTTCAGATACGATGTGTGTGTAAAATTGGGTTTTCAGAGTCCTCAAAACAAAGTTCTCAAAGTCAAAATAGAGCCAAAACACGCTGATTATGAACTAAGAGCGAGTAGTAGTAGCAGTGGGAAGGCTGCTTTGATTGTGTGTACACGTGGCAATTCATGTAATTTTGTGGGAGGGGGAGGTCATCAAAAAGTTCATGGAAAATGCCCATTAGGAAAAATACTATGCATGGATTTCAAAAGCTTTTGCACCAAAATGGGGATAATTAGACCTCAAAAATCCTTGCAGTCTATCTTTCTCTTCTTAACTTCATTTGACTGATAAGGATCCTGGCTCAGGGAGACTAATTGATTCTGCTGTAGTCTCACATTTGGTGAGTGAAAGAGAATGACCATGACCCAACTTAGGATTCCATTTGGTGCCCCATTGGCAATTTCAAAAGCTTTTGCACCAAAATGGGGATAATTAGACCTCAAAAATCCTTGCAGTCTATCTTTCTCTTCTTAACTTCATTTGACTGATAAGGATCCTGGCTCAGGGAGACTAATTGATTCTGCTGTAGTCTCACATTTGGTGAGTGAAAGAGAATGACCATGACCCAACTTAGGATTCCATTTGGTGCCCCATTGGCAGGCTGCTGACCACGGCTACATTGGAGCAAGAATACTACAAGCCACAATGGATGTTGGTTTCCCTACTCATGAGTTAATGAAATCTCTTTTTAAGAGGGCTCTTCAATCATTAGAATTTGACGATGGAGAGTTAAACTTTCCCCAGTGGCTCTTTCTGTGTCATCATGGTTTAGCATTTCCTTAGTATATCGCATTACACAAATCACAAAGTGCTCTTGGTCTACATTTCTTATTGCGTTTGTCTCACTTCTAAGCAATTTCCTCCCTGTTCGAATTTATCTTCCATTATTTCTGCCAAATTGCTTTCAACGCTACTAATTGTATGAATAATATTCTCTTCCACAAACCCTGCGATTAACGAGCTTTAGCTGCGTGGCGTCAAACACAATTTCTCCATCTCTAAAAATGAGGAAGAAGCACCAAATAATATATAAGGCCTCTTTTTGTGCTCAAATTCTAATCTTCTGACTCTTTCACCCAAGCTGTGTGATTTGGAAATGCTACATAAGCCAGAGTCTTGATTTTCCTGGCCCCCACAATAATGGATCAAATTAGCTCATGTTTCCCAAAGTGTTCTTCAAAAACCAGTTACAGGGAATATGTATCACACCTGAAAAGGATTTTAAACAAAATTGTTCAGTAAAGCTATATTAAGTGAAATTGATTACAGTTAATATGTCATGGAGACTCTAAGAAAGAGGCAGTATATGAAGTATTTCCCAAATTTATTGGATCATAGATTCTTTCCCTCCACAGTGTGTGTAAATATTCCATGGAAAATACTTTTAGAAAACCAGGATTCAATCATTTTAAATGTCCTATTTTTTTTATGTTGAAAGTCTGTTTTCAAATATGTTTATAGATGCTACTCTGAACATTTTGTGCAGTATTAAGAGGCTGCAGAGTCGGTATCTATTGCTGTTGTAGCATAGCCCATACTCTGTTTATTTGTTGAGGGAGAGGGCAGGACCTCAATAGGGAGCTCACTCCACAATCCCCCCTCAGCTTCAGCCAGCCCAGACCATTGGCATGTACACACACCCATTAGTGTACACAGGGAGGTCCAGGAAGGAGAGCCTTCCACTGAGTCCATCTTCTCAGAGTGCCACATTATCACTGCAACACCTTCTTCCCCCAGACTCTGCTTAGGTGGAGCTGAAACAAGGTAGCAATTAGCAACCGTCTTAACTAACTTTTCTGTATGTCACTAATACTTATGACTCTGGGACATTTAAATAATCTTTCTCAATATAAAGCACTTCTTGAAAATATGAATAGAATTGGGTTATCTGAAGACCTCTGAAATTCCACCTAATCTATTTTGTGTGGGAAAAGGGAATTAAGAAAACAATAGGAACTCCACATCATGGAAATAATCTTTGAGACAGAAAACATAGGCTATCTTTCCAAGTTAAAATCATCTTCCATTTCTATGGTATCCTAGCATTCATTTAATTTGATGCTTTACCCAGACCTATGTCACCGACAGTCCTTCATCAGACCCTCTGTCTGATTACCTTCAGAAGCAAAAAACTCTCTACTTCATAAGGGGGACTATTTAAAGTTTAGGCTGCTCTACTTAATAGAAAATTCTTTTCTCTCTTATGCTAAACTCTAAATGCTAAATGCTGTTGTTTAAAAAAATCTTGTGAATTGTCCAGCCAGAAAGTCTTCCAGGCATTGTCATGGAAGCATTTATGATGTTTTCAAGTGCTTCAAGTTGAATTTCAGAAGTATATAAGTAAACAAGTATCACATCTTCTCAGAAAAATGATTATAATTTCCATCACCAAAGACCCAAGCAAGTTACCAGCATTCCTAAATTCACCAAGATAGTGAAGTGTAGGGGTGGGATATATGAGGTCTCTCTGATTCAAACACCCTAGTCTTTTTCTCAGTAGTATAGTGCATCTTTAATATGTTGTGTACATGCAAGCAAGGAGAAGAAGGTATTAGCAGAATCTGAAAGCTATAACAGAAATAAGAAAATGATTTAATTTTAATTTTTAATTAAAAAATGGTTTAATGGTTTAATTTCAGCTAGCTTGAAAGGTCTTTGGACATCTTGCTATTGCTCTGGCCTCCAGTTTTCCCTTCTTCAAAATTAGGTTTATTGAAGTATCCCTCAAACTCTGTTTCAGTTCTGGAAAATTCTATAAGTGTAATAAAATATGTTCATTAATGAAAGGAATTTATCATTGAGACGTTATACAATTTTTTTTTTTTTTTGTGGAGAGGTTTTCACTATAGGGCGCGTGTGCTCGCCCGACAGAGACATAGAGACAGAAAGCGAGAAATCACCCCCCGGGGGAATGGTCACGCCGCAATCCCTTCTCCTCCATTCTCCTCTCGGGATGCTGGCAACGCATGCACACGCGCCCGGCGTGAGTTTTAAGCCACCAGGTCTGGGACACGAACCGCGGTCGACTACGTGGGAGTCCAGCAACATAGCCATTACGCTAACTGCTGGTTCCCTATAAATATTAATTTTAAAGTACATGGAAAATGTATATTATGAAAAAACTATGTATGGCTTTCAAAATTTTTTGCTCTCAAACTTGTACTTCAATTCCATGTTTTCCACCAACTTTTGGTAGCTCCTCCATAGTAAAAAGAAGAAAAGACATAGAAAATATTTAATGAACATTAATATAGCATGCATCATAAAGACAAAAAACAGTTTAGGAACTCATGCTTGACTTTCACTTTTTTTTTTTTTTCCTGCACTAGTTACATTCAGACCAGGATAGAGGAGATGGATCACTTAAATATATCCTTTCAGGAGATGGAGCAGGAGATCTCTTCATTATCAATGAAAACACAGGGGATATCCAGGCCACCAGGAGGCTGGACAGAGAAGAAAAACCCGTTTACATCCTTCGAGCTCAAGCTATAAACAGAAAGACAGGGAGACCTGTGGAGCCTGAGTCTGAATTCATCATCAAAATCCATGACATCAATGACAATGAACCAATATTCACCAAGGAAGTGTACACAGCTACTGTCCCGGAAATGTCTGACGTGGGTGAGCAAGATGTGATTTTTTTTTTCAAGAGATTTATTTTTGTCTTAGGGTGTGTGTACTCACCAGAGAGAAGGAGACAGAGACAGTGAGAGGGAAAGTGAGAAATCAACTCCACGGGGGGATGGCCACACCACAATCCCTTCTCTTCCCAGAATCTTGGGCATGCACACACACAAACCCAGCATGATTTTCAAGCCATTGGGTCCAGGACTCAAACCATGATTGTCCGTGTGGGAGTTCAGCAATGTAACTGCTACACCATCTGCTGGCCCCACAAGATGGATTTTAACCAAAACCTTGTTCTCTTCTAATTAATCTATTGAATAGAATCCCATGAGAGAAATTTACCATAGTTGAATGATTTTAGGTGCTAATTTCTAAAAGCATTAGTTTATACTATCCACATATGTTATTTTTGTAAGTGCACTCATGTTTCCTAATGTCATTCTTGTCTCATTTTGTTATTATGTTTAAGAAATGAGCATTTCCTCTAATGGTGAGCATGTGAAAAATACCAAGGTGAGTGTGGGAGATGGAAAGGAAGACCATCTCATCTATCTCTCCCACCCAAAACTCCCTCTTTGTTTATTTAGCCAAAAGGCAGCAGCCTTTGCCATGTCTCAGACTGCATTAGTATAAGGCTCCAGGTAAGGACTTCCCCAATGGGAAATGAAACCACACATTTTACAGTCCAGTCTAAAAGGTAGAGGCAGTTGCTTTATTTGGGAAAGAAACTCAAATAATACTTTTAATTATAAAAATATAATTTTAGGGAGAGAGACTAAAAAAATAACTTTTTTTAGAAAATCCATTATGCAAATGATGTCTAGGTGGGGGACATCTCCTCTAGTGACTAGTGGAAATTAAAAAACTTTAACCCTTACTTGGGAGGGTGAAACAGAAAGCTCATGAGTTCATGACCAGAGGAGGTGACAGGGGAGATGAGATCCTGTCTTAAAGAGCCAATGTGGTGGCACACGCCTATGGTCCCAGTGACTTGGGATGCTGAGGTAGAAAGACTGCAACACAGTGAGACCCTGTCTAAAATACCACACACACACACACACACAAATATGCACATGCACACATAGACTTTCACAATGCTAATATGATAATATTAAATGCATAATTTTCCTACCAATTGTAAATTAAATGTATGTGGATTTAATTTCTTTAAATTGGGAGAAGGTAGACAGTATTTGAATGTTTTAATCTAAAACATCTTTTGTTTGGTTTTGTTTTGTTTTTGTTATAGGACATGTGAGCTTGCCACCAGAGACAGAGAAAGAGGAGAGAGTGAGAAATCACTCCTCAGAGGAGATGGCCACACCACAATCCCTTCTCCTCCATTCTCTCTTCAGGATTTTGGGCTAACATGCACATGTACCTAGCATGATTTCCAAGGTGCCAGGTCTGGGACTCAAACTGTGCACAGTGGCATGTGAGATCTAGCCGCCTTAACCTCCATGCCACCTGCTGGCCCTATAACATACATGGTTCTTAACCACAACAGAATAAAATAGGAGACAAAGGCAAATTCTAAACTTGCCCATGTAAAGGGTTATTCTTATTTTCAGTCTGTCAAATTCAAGAAGGTTGAAATTACATAATAACCTGTTTACAATTCTGTCAGTTAAATGTCGGAAACACTAGTTCATGGATTCAAGACTTGGAAAATGTCCAACCCATGAAAAAGATCATAAAACCGCTGCATTTTTCTTATGAAAACATTGCTCATCTTACTACTCGAAGCCACTTTTTTTTGTTAGAAAAATCGCAAGCCACCATTAAAGCAAAGATGGAGATTAGAATTCTTTAAAGAGGAAGACTTGTGAGGAAAAAAAAAATCTTTCTCTCAGGGATAGAGGCAGAAGAATTACTAAAGGACGGTGCTGTCATCAGTACATAGACAACTCATAACCAGACAGGCAGGTCACATACAACACAACTCCAGAGGTTACCATTCACTTTTGAAACCATTATGGAACGAAGTGGGTGTTATAAATATTTGGGCATAGCTGCCAGTAACATGTCTAAGGAAAAGCAAGGCTTTTCCCAATTTGCACAATTATGTTCATATTCATTGTTATCACAAAGTAACATGTTGTTATTATGATATATAAAAGCATCTCAAAAAAATTACATAAGGGTATAGAAATAACATCAGAAGTATAAAAATGGACTTTGATATCAAACAGATCCAAATTCGAAACCATCTCCACTAATAACTAGCAGTGTAGCTTTGAGCAAATTCCTTGATTTCTCTGATCCTCCCGTTCTGTATCTAAAAGAATAAATAATAAATGTTAACTCCTAAGGGTTATCATGAGGCTTAGATGAGAAAACAGGTGCATAGCTCCCAGTACCATAGCTGGCAACTAAAAGGCACTGAAAGCATCCAGATAATCATGTTCTGAAAGCAATCAAATTTTGTATTAATGTCAAATAAAACTTGGGCATCTGTTGGCTTCTATTAGCTCTTGCTCCAAAATCATATGATGTTCTCATGCTCCCCACTTCCCTTAACAGAGTACAAGGACGGATACTCTGTCTTGTGTATCAGGATGATATATTCAGAGCATCCAACCATACCATGGTACAATCTATTTGTCCAATAAGTAAAATTGGCTAGATATCAGAAAAGCAATGTAAAGATTCAGATATTCACTAGATGTAAATGATCTGCCCTTTCCATAGACTGGAGAGTGCTAGCAGTGTGCTTAAAGCTCATCTGATAGGAATACCAAGTCACCATAAAATTATCTTAATCAGAGTCTTACCCTTTGTTTGATAATCAGATAGAAATCTATGGCCTTTCTCTTCAGTGAAGTAGATATGTAAGTATACACATGAAAACTTGTATGGAATTCCAGGGGGCGTTAGGGAGACTTTGAAGGTTTTAGGCAACAGCGGTCCCTCAAATAAGAAAAAGGATCTAGAATATAATAGCTCTCTTTGTATGTTTAATTACAATCATCTTTTGGAATTACAGATGTTTATGCTGTGCCATTCCAAATAATCTTTTATTTAATTCAAAACTACCTCTTTTAAGGTTGAAGGCTTTTCAAACTAATAGAATTATCTGAAAGCCTTATTACTTAGGACCCTTTATTAACAAGTAATCGGAAACTCAACCCATACTGGTTTAAACAACGGAAGTATTTATTAGTTGCATTAGTTAAATCCAAAGGTAAAGTGGGCTTTGGACATGATTTATCTGGGTTCTGGCTGTTTCTCTGTAATTCTCTATCCTATTCAGCTTTGTCCTCAGGTGGGCATTTCTAAGATCATAAAACACCTGCTGTGTTTGTGACTTTACATGAGTACATTAGAGCCCAGGAGAAAGAGCATCTATGACAGAATTTCCAGCAAAATCATGAGTAGTCCCTAACTGCTCCTAAACTAATTCCTAGTGGACAAAGTAATACAAGATGCTGATTGGCTAATCCTGGATAACTTGAAAAAAATCACTATACCAGCTGACCAGCCAAATCCCACCACTGTCGGTGGGTTGGAACCAATTCTCCCACAGTAGTGATCGTACCCAGGCTTCTCTTTAACCTAATTGTTTTAATATTTATAAATGTTGATCACATTCTTCCAGAGTGAAGAAGGCCAAGGCCTTTTTTTTTTTTTTTTTTTTTTTTTTTTTTTGTGAGAGGTTTTTGCTATAGGGCGCGTGCACTCACCAGACAGACAGAGAGAGACATAGAGACAGAAAGCGAGAAATCACCCCCCAGGGGGGATGTTCACGCCGCAATCCCTTCTCCTCCATTCTCCTCTGGGGATCTTGGGCACTCATGCACACGCGCCCGGCGTGAGTTCTAAGCCACCGGGTCTGGGACGCGAACCGCGGTCGACTATGTGGGAGTCCAGCGACATAGCCATTATGCTAACTGCTGGTTCCCAGCCAAGGCCTTTTTATCTAGCATCCCAGTGAAGTTCTCCACTTCTTTGTTGCAGTGGTTTTGAAAAATTAGGATCATGTTTTCTTTCTGTGTATTTGTATCAAGAATTGTAAAGGAGACTCTTAATTTATCTTTGGTTTTATGCTTCTGTTACAGGGACATTCGTTGTCCAAGTCACTGCGACGGATGCTGATGATCCAACATATGGGAACAGTGCTAAAGTTGTCTATAGTATCCTGCAAGGACAGCCCTACTTTTCAGTTGAATCCGAAACAGGTTAGAATTTCTTTTTGATCCTCTTTTTTAACAATGTGTGATTTTAATTGACATGCTCAACTGAGCTAGTATTTTTTTTTTAATAAAAGCAATCAGTGTGATTGAATTTTCTTGCATTCATCTGCCAAACACTAATGATATATTTGTAAACATGACATCCAGCTCATTTTAATCAAGAAATCTGACAATGAATCTTTTATCTACTGTGTTTCTATAGAGTAAATTTGGGGAAAAATTATACATTGCTTTATTTTTCTTCCAGCTTGGAGTGAAGCTAAAAGATCAACCCTTTCTGATAGCTATTTGGACTGTTGACAGATATTCTGAGTCTTCTTTTTCTAGTTAGTTGGTAAGACTGCACCCCTCTATTCTACTCTGAAGCTAGTTGTAGCTACGTGATATATTTGGGGGAATAAAATGTGGTTGTGAAGCAAGTCACTTCCAAGCAGAGCTTTTTTTTTTCCAATTGCCAGAGGAAAAGGTGAAAAAAAGAAACCCCCCCCCCCCCCCAGTGGGGCCGTGTTCATACCACAATCCTTTCTCCTCCATTTCACCATCCTGTCAGGATTTGGAGCATACCTAGTATGTTTTACTTTAAAAAAAAAATAGTTATTGATTTTCATTTATTTATTACTATTATTTTTTAATTTGACCAGAAAGAGGCAGAGAGAAAGAGGGAAAGTAAGAAAGCAAGCCAAAAGATCCAGGACTTGAACCATCATCAGCCATGGGGAGTCCAGTACTTTAACCACCACACCACGGGCCAATCCCACACATGGTGTAATTTTCAGGCTGTCAGGGCTAGGAAGCAAATCACAGTCAGCCATGTAGGAACCAGCTCCCTATGCACCCAGCTTAACCACTATAAAATGGGGCTGCCCCTCCAAGCAGAATTTTTAGAGATGATACACATCCCACCACATTCCCTTCCCCTCACTTCAGTGATCATGGAAGCCAGTGTGGAGGTGGGAACCAGGGGTCCGTAGCCTGGATGTCTAAGTGGTATGATGAGCAAAGGTGCCTGCTTATCTGCTTTAAAAAAATAAATGTTAGTTGTGTTAAGCCACTGGGATTTTGAACTGTTTGTTATCACATCGCTGTCTAGCCTATCCTAACTGATACAGCTTTAATCAAACAATATGGATCACCTTATGAAATCCTTTTTCAACATCTCTGGATTTTCTCCACAAAGTAGCATACTATCTTATGATGACTTGTTTTTTAGTAAATATCATTTATATTGTGGAATACATTCTGTACATATTTGCTATCATTGTGAGTCAAGTTTCTTTAATATATTTTCAAGTGTTCATTCTTGTGAGTAAAAATCAAAATCTAAGTTACTACATTCAGTTGGATATCTATGTATTAGAAGGTGCAATGAACTCGGAAGGAATCTCAAGGGGGGAAAAAGGCTTAGTTGAAAAACACTGAGGTTGAAAAATTATTCAACTTAAAAGACAAAATAACTGAGGCAATCTCCTGTGTTTAAATAGAGAAGTACTATTAGTTGGAGTATAGAACACAGCCCCACTTTCACTGAAGCCAAGACTACAGGAATAAAATTGACCTGTTGTCTAAGGTATTCTCGTTAAAAATTTAAAAAGTTATTTTCAGCTTTATTAGTTGTTAAACACTAGAATGTGCTACTGGAGAAGGTTTTATAACCTTCTCCACTGATTTCTGAAAGAAAGGTAATTTAAGCATAAACCCTACATAGTGATTAAGCGAACTTTTGGTAGTTCTTTCAACTAATTAGTTTGTTCATGTCTAACAGAGAGATAAATTTAACCTGACTTAAAAATATTGGTTACTGTTGGGACCAGTTGAACTACTATTCACATTAGCTTTAGGAAAACCTAAATTCTCTAGGATTAAACGAGATGCTAACTAAGAGAGAACTGATGCAGTTGTTTTCTTAAGACCATTGTTCTGTGGTTCAGAAAATTCTGAGGACATTCATGGTGGTAGGTAGGTTTGAGGAGCAATTAGCCAATGCGGTAATGTGAAACTCGCCTCAGTTCAAGTGTACGGGTTTATTAACAATTGTCTCATGACATACCTAACTGTCTTTTATCAAGCAGCTTCCACGGTCCATATATCTTTTTAACCACATGCCAGGTTGTAACTTTCTCTGTCATCTTATGACACTTCATATTTAGACTACTCGCAGTCTGTATTATTGGAGGATTTGGTTTGTATGTGTTTTCATTCTCCTTGTATTACAGACTTTTTAAAAACGTGTCTATCTCCCCTGTGTGGCTGTAATATCCTTCAGCGTAATGGCTATATATAATCATCTTTATATCCCTGTGACATCTGCATAATATTTTGCATATTATGGGTGACAGTCTATGTTTGTTTGCATAAATAAGTGATTCCATAAAATATTCTTAATGCATCCCATCCACTTCTAAATTTCATATCCATAGGTATCATCAAGACAGCCTTGCTTAACATGGATCGAGAAAACAGGGAGCAGTACCAAGTGGTGATTCAAGCCAAGGACATGGGCGGCCAGATGGGAGGATTATCTGGGACCACCACGGTGAACATCACGCTGACGGATGTCAATGACAATCCTCCTCGATTCCCCCAAAGTAGGAACATTTGATTGAATGAGTTTCTTCAATGCGCTTTTGTAAAACTCTAAGAATACTTATTTTCCATTGTCACCGTTAATGTCAAAATTAGTGGACTTAGTAAAAACTGACACTTTTATTAAAAGTGAGCTGACAACATTGCTTATGCTCAGGAAATGTGAACATTTATGTTCTTCTACTAGCAATTAGCTGTGTGATTTCCGATATGGTGGTTATCATAAAAGGAACATCATTGTTTTATTTTTCCTTATTAAAAGGACTACTACAGACATAAATTTGCTTGTGCAGAACATATGTATACAAGCATGCTGCTATTTGTTAGGAAAAAAATTGACTTTATGTTTTGTGAATTTAATCAGGCTTGTAATCTCTTTCAAATCCTCACAAAGCTTTGTAAGGGGAGGATTTATCATTTTACTGTTTCTAAAAATACAACTGTGGAAGTAACTATGTACTTAGTCCATTTGTAATCATAAATAGTTTTCACATTATGGTTAATTGAGACACTGAAAGTCATCTCTAAAATCATTAACTCTTGTGATTAGATAGGAAGGAAGAAAAAGAGAACACAGCATCCATGAATACCAACTTTCTATCAAGCATATGCTAGACTCTTTCACATAGAGCCTCCCAAGTGGGAACTGGTCTTAATGTAATTTTCTGTCCAGGAACAAAATCCCTTTCTGACCTAAGAAAGTTATCTCATCTCAGTCATTAAATAGAAAACCTACTTACTCTGCATGGCATTTTTTAAAGACGCTCAGCTAATATGAGCTTCCTTTAGAAAGAAGATATACATGGATCATCAGGAATTTTTTTAAGTATTTAATCAGAGTAGCTAAATGCAAACGTAGAATAGCTAGCTAACTACTTTCTGGCATAATGCGCAAAAAGAAGCCCTAAAATGTCCCCCACAGAGGCCTGAATGAAATGATCAGGATAACCAACAAAACCTCTTTTTGATGTGGAGCTCCCTGGGGAGGGTAACATAAAGATTCAGCAGCACTTTGGTAGCACGGGCAGCGTTGTAACTCACTCTCCTCTTTCTTCAGAAACCCCAGTACTTCTTACTAGACAGTGTGCCAAGGCAGGGAAGGGGAGAGTATAGAAAGGTGCAGGAGACCCTACAAATGAAAGATGAATACTCTAGAGAAATATCATTTTATCATTTTACTAAGAATGAGCCCAATACTTAGGAAATTCATATAATTGAATGCCTATATTTTAGTAGTGTTATGGTATAAATTTTTGCCAAAAGCACTTCTATGACTGGTTGGCAACATGTAATGGATAAGTGTAGAATAAGTTTCATTTTACTGTTTTGTTTTTTGGGATCTAATATCCCATATAGGGAGGAAAATAGAGAGAGAAGCAAGTGTTCTTAAGAAAAATACACATCTATGAAATATAGATTTTAAATTATTGATATAAATAAATACAAAGATGGAAGAAACCTATGCATAGAAGAAAATTATTGTAATCAAATTTATAAGAGTCAAAGGAAAAACATTAAGAGTTTTATCACTCGGTGTATTTTGCTATTTTCCTAACTGTGCAACTAGATCCAGCTCTGTGTATAAGTAATAAAATGTCTACTTGGATACATTCTCAAAATTTCTGCCACTATACTTCCACCTCAAGCTATTAGTAGAAATGGCAGGAAAAATATTTTTATCAGGTGTTTTCTCTTTTATTATTCCAGAGGGCATAAGAGAGAGAAAGAGAGATTGAGGAAGAGGGAGAGAGAGAGAAAAAAAAAAGAGAGAGAGAAAGCACCTGCTTCCCTCCAGTGGGGCCTAGTCTTGCCTCAATCCCTTTCCCT